GGAAGAAGCATTGAGGATCAGGTTAGCATCTGGCTGAGTCAGGAGCGCCGCACCCATCTCTCGTGAGAAAAGTCCGAGGCCTGTTAGGGCTGTAACAATCCGCCCCCTTGGGTGTGCAGAGATCTGACCTTAGACAGATAAACTGTTCCTCTCAAGAACCTCTAAAGTCCTGACTCCATTCACCACAGCCCCTAAAGCGTATAATTCTAAAACTAACATGTGGCCAATAAAGATGTGCCAAATATCCCGACTCCACCCTGGCTCCACCCCTACCTTGCCCTACCCAATAGCGATCCAATGGCACCACCCTGGCTCCACCCCCGCCTTACCCTATATAAACCTGTGCATTTGCTGACTAAAGCGGAACTGTTGCAGAAACCTCCCCGGAACCTGCCTGGTGATTTCGAGCCTTGCCTTCCCAGTCCAGGCCCCCTGAACCCTGTTCCACGAGCGGGCTCCCAGATGAAAACAACGGACAACAACTCTTTCCTCAAACAGAAGCAGTCTTCCACATCCACAGGCCAAAAAACTCAAAACTTCGAGCTCGTAAAAAAATTAACTCAAAATGTAAAACTAAAACTTAACATAGACTCAAGAGTAAAACTACAAACCTTTTTTTGTAAAGGAAAAAAACTCTTCGGCATCCAGGACTAGGTAAAGAATTCTTACAGTACCACATTTCTGAGCCAAGAGTGTAATACATAAAAGGAAAAGTTGACACATTCGGCCTTATCGAGATTCAAAAATGTGTTGCGTAGAAGAATCCGTTAAGTGAATGAATAAACTATCTATACACTGTGACAAGATGACACGGCAACTTTATTCATAACTGCCCCAAATGGGGAACAACTCAGATTTGTCTAAAGAGTGAATTATTAAACAAACTGTAGTACCATCCATCCCATGGGATGCAATAAAAGAAATTAAATATTGATATATGAGTCAATTTGGTTGAATCACCAGGCAATTACATTGAGTTTAAAAAGCCAACCTAAGAAGGTCACATCCTGTATGATTCCATTTATATAACACTCCTAGGATGACAACGTTTTAGAAACAGAAATCAGATTGTGGGAGGGGGTAGAGGGGAGAGGAAGAGGGCAAGATATCAAAGAACACACAAGGGAACCTTGTGGAAATCAGATTCTCCACACCATGGCTACATCCACCTCAGTGTCCTGGTTGTGATATTGTACCACAGTTTCTCAAAATTTTATTTTTAGAAGGAACTGGGTAATAGGTCCAGGACTGCTGGATTATTTCATACAACTGTGCATGAATCCTCAAGCATCTTGAAAGGCCATTTAAAATTTTAATAAAACCAGAAAATATTTAGACAGAAATACAGCTAAAAATCTGTGTTTTGACTATAGAATAGCTAAAAGCCTTGTGAAACATTTAATACACCAAAAAACTAAAAAAATAGTCACAACGTATATATCAGAACAGATTCCTTCAGGTGCATAGGGAGAGTCTAAAATATAGGGAAAATTCAAAGTTCTCAAGAAAAAGACATAAGCAAAGGATATGAGTGGAAAGTTTATAAAATAATAAATGTATGTATCCAGTACTTCTCGGAAAGAATTTAATCTCAGTGGAATTAATAGAAACAAAATATGAATCTATTGTTCACTGTCAAGATGAGTCATGTGTGTTTAAAGCGGTAATAATGAGCCAAGAGCAGTGGCACACACCTGTAACCCTAGCAGCTGGGAGGCTGAGGCAGGAGGATCACCATGCGTTTGAGACCAGACTGCACTACAAAGTGAAACCCTGTCTCAAAAAAAAAAAAAAAACAGATGGCAGTAGTGATTTTCAGGAGTGAGCACGACAAGCTGAGTGACAACAACCCTCCCATATACCAGCTTGTCAAGATTTATCTGGATTCTTAAACATAACTCACTTAGGGCAATTGGATGTCAGGAAAATTATTTCCAATGAATCAGAAATGAAACAAATTTTTATTTATAGAGATGCTTATCACACCACTGATAATAATAAAGAACCTGAACCAATTTCAATATTCAACAAAGGTAAAATAAACAGGAATATACTTGCATGGTATATGCATAAATATATTCTATTCTGGAAGAATAATTAATGGTCTGGTAAAATGGGCACAATGTACTATGAAGAAAAAAAGGTAGGACATAATGTGATTTTAATACTCTGATATAAAAAGAAATATGTGTAGTACGGTAGGCAGGGAAAATGTAAGAAAACACAAAATTGCAATCAGCGGTATTTCTGGGTAGCAGAATTATAGGTTATGGACATATTTTATTCTTTTGCATATTTAAGTACATATTTATAGTCAGAAAATAGTAATAAAACAGGAAGTCAACATTTCGCACTGTGAATCATGGGAAGCCATTTTTATAGAACAAATTTTGAAATGGGGTTGAGGGTCAGTGCGGGCATCGAAATTGCTCGTCAGAACGTCAAGCAGAGCCGGGCGTACGACAAGGGCGACC